GTCAGGCCTTTCAATACCACTCCTGAAACTGGCGGTTCTGGAGTGGGTAAACACCGCAGAGGCAAGAAAGGCATCCAACTTCTCTGCCATTTCCCTGTCATCCTTTCACCCCTTGGTCATCCAAGGGCCCCACTGCCTCCCTGGCTGGTTTCCTGCCTCCGATGCATTTGATGAGATTTTTGTTGTTGCCCCTTCCGATTTCACACAATTCCTCATCAATAACAAACTAACTTGGGCCCCACAACAAAGGATGACCAGGAGAGCTCAAGGAGAAAAGAGGGTCCCAAGATGTAGGGCTGCCAACCTCCAGGTGGAGCCTGGAGATCTCCGGGAATTACCACTCATTTCCAGCTGACAGAGACCAGCTCCCCTGGAGAAAATGGCTGCTTTGGAGGGTGGAAACTTGAGCTTCCCCCCCCTCCCCAAACCCCACTTTCTCCAGGCTCCACCCTCAATTCTCCAGGAATTGTCCAAACTGTAGTTGGGAAGAAGAAGAGATTGGATTTATACCCCTTGCCCTTCACTCGGAGTCTCAGAGCGGCCTACAAACTCCTTTCCCTTCCCCTCCCCACAACAGACACCCTGGGAAGGAGGTGGGGCTGAGAGAGCTCTTTCGAGGACTGCCCTTGAGAGAACAGCTCTGACAGAGCTATGGCTTGGCCAAGGTCACACCAGCAGCTGCAAGTGGAGGAGTGGGGAATCAAACCCGGTTCTCCCAGGTTAGAGTCTGCGGACTTAACTGCAACATCAAACTGGCTCTCATATTGAGGCCCATCAGGTTCCGTTCACATTGGAAGACTTTTTTCCCCTTTTGGTGCTGAAACCCAGGATCGATGGAAGACATTTCAGGCCAGAAAAGAGATGACTGGGGGGGGGGGGGACAGGAGAGAGGTTCATAAGATTCTGCATGGGTCGGAGAGAGGTGAGAAAGAGACATTTTCCTCCCCCTCCCAAAATATTGGAACTCGAGGGCATCCAATGAAGCTGGTGGGCAGTAGGTTCAGGACGGACAAAAGGAGATACCACTTTACATACAGAGTGATGAAAACGTGGAATCCGCTGCCAGAGGACGTCGTGATGCCCACAGGAATAAACAGCTTTAAGAGGGGATTAGATATTCATGGAGGATCAGTCTATCAGTGGCTACTAGCCGTGGTGACTGAGGGGTATCTCCACATTCGGAGGCACTCAGCCTCCGAATCCCGCGGCCCTTCCTGCTGGGTTTTCGGCTTGCTCCCAGCCGCCAGCTGCCTGCTAAGGAATGCTCCTGCCAGGCAAAAGAGCCCACCTGCCTGTGAAGCCGGACGTGATCTGCCACGAAGCCTTCTCCGGAGCGTGTGGAGGTCCTCCGGCCAGCTCTGTGCTCCCAGGCGGCTGACCCCACAGCTCCCAGTGGGCCGAGCGGACCTTCATCCCGAGGGCTCTCTCCTGCCTTCTGCCATGCTGCCTCGGTTGGGGGGCAGGAACTGGCCAAGGGCCGGCTGGTGGTGGTGAGGACGGACGACACAGGCACCACGGAGGATGGGGAAGCTCCAAGAGGCCTCTGGGTGGAGACGGCCTGTGTGCCCCGCTCCGGAGGGCTTCCGAGGAGAGGGAGAGCTGGGAAGCCCCACTCCCTGGGACACGGGCCCTGAAGGTTCCATCGTGGTCCTCGTCCAGGGGGGGGGGGGGGAGCCCAGTCCTTCAAGGCCTCTTTCTGCTGCTGCTGCTCCGGCTCCCCAGTCCTCATTATTTCTTAATTAACATACCCAAGAAATCAATTAGCCGCTGAGCTCCTAATTAAAAGCTACGGAGACGATCACCTCATTATTATGAGCTGTGGAGGTGAGCAGCCCAAGGTGGCGGCCTGGCCCACTTCACCGCCCCCCCCAACACGGCCGGCCCAAAGGCGGCAGCCCCCCCCCCGCTCCTCCCGCAGATCCGAGGCGCCTTTTGTGCGCGGAGAGTGATGGCAAAATTAATTAGCCATTAGGCAAATGTGCGGCGGCTGTTTGTTCGCGCTCTCGGGTCCCCCCCCCCGTACAGATGAGCCGCTGCACGCCCTCCCCGGGACCTTCTGGGATCCGGCAGGAAGACGGGACGAGGGAGTCCTCGAGCGCAGGGGATGGTGGCTTAAGGGCGGCCCGGCCCCGGGGACAGGAGAGTGACCCTTCCTCTGGGGCTGGCAGAGGTGGCAGGGCCCAGGGAGCCCCCTTCCGGTCTGTGCCGTTCCCCTTGTGAGGAGGGCAGGAGGCCTCCCGGTCTGAAAAGGCTGCTAAGTTTTCTGTACACACACAACATCCCTCTCTCTCTCTGTGGGGCGTGAAATCCCACTCTCCCCAAAGCCAGCAAGTGTGGGTCTTTTAAAACGGAAAGCCCCCTCCAGGTCCCCCCCCCCAGACCAGCCTGTGCGCTGAAGGCTCAGAGAGAAGGAGAGTTCTCAGAACCTGAAGCAGAACTAATTGGAGGAGACACAAGGGGGGGGGGGGATGGATAAGCCAGAACTGTTTCCTGCCCTAAACTCCCCTGAACCTGTTGAAATGTCTGGAACCCCCCCCCTCCCGATGCCGACCTCTGTTTGGAGCCCAGAGACACCTGAGTGGGGCGGCTGGCTCGGGCCTGGGGGGGAGCCTCCCGAAGAAGCCCCCGGGTATCCTTTCTAAAGCGCTCTGAACTGGCCCAAGACAAGGGCGCCCGTTGCCAGCGACACGGCTTCCTCTCCAGGCCTCCGGCAGCATCCGCCTGGCCAACGAGGCTGCCTTCCAGCTGCTTGAGGATCGTGGCCCCCTGAGCTGCCGCTTACTCGGCAGGAGCAGCCAGGCAAACTCGGCAGCCGTCACCCTGGTCCCACACTCACGGGCATCTGAGTCCACCCGAAGCTGGGGAAGGGACACAGCTCACCTCACCTCGCCACCCAGCCGTGCCCATGAGGGCATTTGCCTCCGTGGGCATGCAATGCCAAGGAAGGGGGGGTAGGGTCTGCACCCTGCCCCTCCTTCCCGCATCAGGTCTGGAGAGCAGGCATGGAACCGAGCGGGCGAGAGAAGCTGGCCAAGAAGGGGCTTCGGCTGGGCCTGTGGGGGCGCAACAAGGCCAGTACTTAGGCAGCCACAATGACAATGAGGACAGACACACACCCCCAACTCCTTTCCTTATCTGCTGCCTCCAAGTGCCCCCCAACCTTTGCCGGGGGAGCTGATTGAGGCAGGAGCATCCCCACCCACCCCCACCCACGGTCCCTCTAAGCTGTCGAGTCTCGTGAGCAGAAATTCTACTTTGTGAGCAAAAATTCTACTGGCATTCAAGCTGTGAGCAGGTGATTTGGCTGCTGCATAAATCAGTTTGCTCTGGAGCCCTCCTTCCCGAGCTCAGACAAAAATGTGTGATCCGGAGGCTAAAAAACTGTGAGCTGGCTCACACTGACTCAGCTTAGAGGGAGCACTGGCCCCCACCCCAGTAAAGTGCTATGATTTGGAACGGGGCGGGTCCTTCTTCCGGAGAAACTGGTTCCCACCCCCCAGGAGCCAGCCCAAAGCTCCCCGCCCATTTTCTGCACCCCCCCCACCTCTCCCCTGAAAGCCAGGCATACATTCACACACACGCTAGTGCAGTAAAAGTGAGATCAGGCAAAGTCAGTAGCCAGGTGCAAATCGAATGCAGATTCAACAGAATCCCACCCACACTGACCCAGGGCATGAATTCTCTCCTCCCAAGCACTCCCCCCCCCCCCCATTTATACCACCCGGGTCTGG